TTTGCAAGGTTTGTTTTCTCAAAATCTTCAAGTATTTTCAACAAATTTCAGATCGGGTAAGCCTCGAGCTCACACCTCACGTCAGCACTCTGGCCAAGTACTTGACAAAACTATGTTCCGCATGAACAAGTGGTCCGATCAACCACGTCACTGGTCCGGAAACTTTAAAACTTCCAGTCGGGGCCAGACCCGCAACTGATTCTAAGCGTCTAAGTACCCTAAGCCAAGTCATTCTCGCACACTTAGGCACGTAAAGAGTCTCGTCATAAGCCCACCTCAAAGTCGCAGACAAACAAGGCGACCTAGATACACCTAAGCACGTAAGTTGGCCAGACCCCGCTAACTTAGACGAACGACGGTCTACTCAATCAAAATTCGCTATCGCAGCATAAAAAAATGGACACGAATAAAATCCATTCGAGATTGATAAAGCGAAACCCGAGCTGCCAAAGCGCGGGAAATATTATTCAAAAAGAAAGTCTTTACAAAGCAAAAAAAAAACAATAACAAACTAAGAGACTAAGACTGAGGAGCAGGGACGACCGGAAAGCCGTTCAGGGGAGCGATCTCCTCGCCAGTGGCCGAATCTCTTGTCACAGTAGCGGTCTCGTTTTCTTGAGCCTGAGCCTCCACTCCTAGGTCATCCATGAGCAAAAATTGATCCTTCTCCTGATCCTCCACACTCATCAGGGTCCCATACTGGTCGAAGGGGGCCACGATCTCAGTCTAAGGAGGGTTCACAGAGGCGGCTGCGGTCTCGCCCTGAGGAAGGTTCAAAGACATCCAAGGAGGAGGAGTCATCCTGAAATCGCCCTCAGTGATTTCTTCGACGTCCAGAGTATCAAAATCCTTCTCGAACCTTTCAAAGTTCTCATCGAGCTCTTTGAACCGTTCGTCCGAAACATCAGCTCCTGCCTTCTTAAAACCAGCGAGGTAATCCTTGATAGCCATCGCTTGGTTCATCAGGGCATTAAGCCTGTTCGCCTCCTCATTGTCAGCGATCGACTTCCTGATCCTCGAAAGCTTAGCATCGCACTTCGCGATGATCTGAACGACCTCGTGCCTTCGAGAAAACCGCAGACTAGTCGTCTCCTGATCATGGAAAGATTGAAGAGACTCTTTTTTGGCCTTGACCCTCTCGAGCTCCTCCTCGGTAAAATTCGCTCGTTGCCTCGCCTCCTCTGCCTTTTTGGACAGATCATCCATCAAAGGAATCTGTGCCGCGACCTTTTTCTCGAGATCAAGAACCTTCTTAGCCTTCTTTCTTCATGCTTGGGTACTCCTCAGCTTCTTCAAGAGCCCTTGAGACCGACGCTCGATCGTATTTTTCGATGATCAGATTCCCATGTGTGATCATCTATCAGTAGAAGATCGATGAGCAAAGACAAGATAAAAGCAAGGATTTTAAAACACAATGCTGGGCTAAAGGGGACGATACCTCCATCTCGTTTCCCGAGAACAACTGATACGCCTCCGCCTCGATCAGGTCATCGGGCTCAGGAAAGTCGTGCTCCGTACTACAGGGGATTTTGGAGCACAGCTCAGCGCATGCTTGCGGGATACTTGCGATATGATCTTTTGACTTAAAGGCAAAAGAAAGATCACAGGTCGCGGGTTCCTCTCCAGAACCAGTGACAGCGGCTTCAACAGAGGCGGTCTTCTGTGCAGGCTCCTCCACGCGCTGCTTTTTTTCGATCCCTCAGCAGCGACCCCAGTGGGTCTCTTTTTCCGGTCTCATCAGAATCCTTCTTCGAAGCCTCAGTAGAGGGGTTCGTCACCCGTTTCCCGCCTTCTTCGCAGTGAGAGAAGCCTCAGCGGCCTTCTCGGTCTGCGAAGGGATTTGCTTGGACGCCCCCTGAGTGGCGACAGATGGCCCAGCCTGTTTAACAGCCGCATCAGTCCTTTTGCCCAGAGTAAGACTCTCTTGAGCAACGTCGGTATAGTTAACCATGTTTCCGCAGTTTGATTGGAGGAAAAATCTACGGTCTGAGCGGAACGAGCTCGAGCGTATAGCAGCCTACCAAAACAGAAAGAGAAACATACTTCAGGAAGCAGCCCGTTTCAAGCCAGATACTGGAAAAGACGAAGATTAAATCGAATTCCAACATGTGATAATCCGCTCTTGATACCTTTGAATCCGCTGCTCGATAAATTCTAGCCAAAGTTGAGGCTGCAGCTTCTTCAGAAGAGGAATCAGCGTCCTCTCACCGGGCTTTGGAGTGGTCAAGATCGGCGGAATTGGGTAATCTACAAACAAAGAAGAAGATTAGGTGTCAGCCAAAACAGACAAACTCGAAAACACAGGGACATTAAGCCTTCTGGTTATAATGTTCTAGCTAGCCCGGATTGGCAATTTTGGATTTTCAACGGAGGTCACATCGATCTTCACAAAAAATACTTGAACTCACAGTTGTCGCACTTATCACTGATGGAGTCCGGATTCAGCCACGAGTTCTCGTAGCGCGCCGATACATAGAAGCGGCCTGAAGGCTTCCGCCACTTCAGTTGGGTCATCGCCTCGAAGGTGTCGCAGTCACATTCCATCTCATGTTGTGCGACGAGAGTGGGGCAGACCGCAAAGTTCCGGATCGAGGCCCAGGTAAGCTAGCAGATAGCTACGCCCCGCCGGGCACAGTATTCGATCAAAATCCTGGGCAGTAGAAACCACAGCCCGCTCGCTGTAAAGAATGACTCGTATAAACACATATACCCTTTTGGAGGCATCCATGGATGGTCATTCTTTCCAGGCACCAGAAAATTCACGGTCTTGGAGAGGTTTCTAGTAGACCGCATCGCTTCCAATGACTCAAGGGTCGACGAGGTCCTCTGGTCGTCAAAGCGGACTAGTGCAATGTTGTAACCTAGACCGGGTCCTGGAGGGTCCCTCCTTTCTGGGGTCGAGATCGACAAACCAAAGGAGTCGGGATCTCCCTCGACCCCCGTCAACGCAGGGCCACGCTCGGACCGTCCGCGGCTATATCGGGCTCCAGGAGGACCCGATGACTTTAGGAGTCCTCGAAGTCCCGATCGCAGCAGGCCGTGGACCTTTGACCGAGCTGGATTCCGCATCCCCTTTCCTCGATATGCGGGCTTTGTGGACACGAGCTAATGCCTCCTCTTCCATTAAAGATAGGCTGTCAGATAAGGATGCAGAAGACGAACTGACCAAATTCTGGCTAGGAGAGTTTTCGCCGGACATCAACCAAAAACCAGATCAGGACGGAGAGCTATGTGAAGAGCGATCGAAGAACTCTAGGACGGCGGAACTTGGGGATGATAAGACACCAGAAATATCTAACAAAAAACTAGGG